CTTTCCTTACAGCGTACTTCTCAAGATTAACAGTTATCCAGATATAAATCATGATAGAACATATAACCTATTGAATCATGTGGTTCTGCCAATGTTAGTGAGAATAGGGAACCTTTGTGTCATGATTTACAACAAAAATCACATTGCATGACAGGTTGTTCAAGTATAGTTTGTGCTAGACCGGAGTATAATACATTACACTAATATATTATCTTCTTTGTAAAGTCTCTGTAACAAAGATCACCATCATATTTGAAAAGAACACTTCCATGATAAAAATTTCTGTGGTCTATGGATACAACCCTTCCACTCACTTCTTTAATTATTATTGCATGTAATTGCTAAATTACAATAAACATATTGACCTTAAATTGTTGAATTTGAAAGTTGGTTGTTTAAATTTAAGCTTAATTTTCAAAAATCCAATTCCATAGGCAATTTCTTTTTAACAAAATTCTTATTTGGTAACATGAGAAAGAACTAAGCTGTTTCCCCTCTAAGATCATCACCTGCTTAAATTTATGCATTACATGGAACACCTCTTTCCCCTTGAATGCCTAAAATCAACTAAACATGTTCATCCCAATTGTAAACATGGGATAATAGTTGCCACTTTAATCTAATTCAAATCCTTGCTTGTCTTCTATCCATATAATCAAATCAGTGGGCGTTGTTATTATTATTCCTTTATGCGTTGTTAGGATGTGGGAATCGAGCCAAGTGATGATGGAATAAATGTGCGAATAGAATGCTCATTCTCACGTTTGGTGCCATACAGAATTAGGGTATTTTTTTGATGTTTTTTTTATTTTTTGATTCTCACATAAATGAGAATGCCCCTTAACAACTCAAAAGGGAAACAATCCCACTAAGTGTGGGAATGAGCACTCCTATGGAATGGTCTTCCAACTTTATAAAAAATGTTGTGTTTGTTAGATTTGATTGTGAAGTGGGAATGACATTTCATTCCACCTCATTCCTAACTATCAAACAATGCGTGTTCAAACCAGAGTAGGAAAAGGGTAATCCAAACATGAAAGTGCTCATTCAAATTGTTCCCTAAGGGGGGGTTAGTCACCTAGAACTTAAAATTAGAACTGAGATAATCTGTGGGATAAAATTTTAAGGTGTTAGTCACATAGAACTAAACCTAGAACAAAATTTTAAGGTGTTAGTCACATAGAACTAAAACTAGAATAAAATTTTACAGTGTTAGTCAAGCAGAACTTTAACAAAACTAGAATTGGGATAATTGTACAAGATTATCCCATTTTTTTATTTTTCTATACAAAAATGAGAGTTCTAGTCTCTCAAATTATTCTAAGTTTTAGCTTGGAACTATGTGGTAAAAAACTAGAACTCGTATTTATTTTGTTATTTTTTATTTTTTTTCTTTACTTATTTCTTATTATGGTTATCACCATCATTAGACCATCATCATAATAATAATTGTCAATATCTTATACTCTAACCAAAAGTTATTTAATAGTAACGAACATTCTTGTAAACAATTATCAATTAATAATAGTAAGTTTAAAATACATAAATAGTATTTATATCTTCAAAATGCATAAATATATACTTCATGATTATAAAAATTTATCCCACGTTATTTTATTAAAATATCCTGTTTCACAAAATTGTTCCTAGTTATCCCACTAAAATATCCCACTAGCGAAATATTATTCCACTTTAACAATTTTCCCATTTTGCATGAAAATGTCCCAATTGACTAACACCCCCTAACCCACAACTCAAAAACAATGTCATCCGTTGATAGAGCCATATCGCTAATGTACTCTTCTTAAATTTTATTTGAATACTTGATTAATCATATTGCTCTTTGAATGGCCTTACAGCATGATGTTGATGCCGGTACCCTAAAAAAAGTCATCCTCTCGGATGGTGCAGTAGTAACAGTAAAAGGTGCTCGCTCTGTCAGCC